TAGCTCGGCGGGACAGGTAAAGCTGTGTTTGGTGAACTGGTACCCCTGAGAAGAGGGCCAGAGCCACAGGGGACCACAAAGTTACAGGGACAGGACTGTTGCAAGTGTCCCAGAGAAGAGTTCCACCCCCATATTAGAAAAAGGACAGAGTATGAGACCCCACAGGACAGGGCAGCCCTGAATCATAGCGATTATGGCTTGTCTTCTCCTTTCCCACCTCGGGAGACGGAATGTGCAGGGAGCTACAAGGACTCCTCCAAGAAGATGTGATGAGACACAGAAAATTTTGTTCCCAAGATTCCAAGGTTGAGGACCAGACCAGTCCGAAGAGGATGAGGGACAAGCATTTGGAGTGGAGAGGCTGCACTGCCCTTGGAGGGAGGTCACTTGCAGGAGAGGCTGTCTTGTAGGAAGTGCACAGTGAGGGGTGCCGACCAGGTGGTCAGGCCTCATGGGCAGCCCCCTTAGGGAAGCCTCCAGATGCTGGAGAGAGTCACCAGCTAGCCAGGTGATTCGCTCAAGCAGAGCATTTCGGCAGGTTGCCAACAGGCCAGATCTGAAACTGTCGGGGTTCCTAACGGACAAGGCAGGGAGGGGACCAGGAGGAGGCAGACTTCAAACGTTGTTGAAGCCTGAGGTCGGCTTGTTCATTGTAGGCTGTGAAAGTGAGATTCAGGCCAAGTTTCATGAAGTTCCCATCTGAGTTACATAAGGGTTGCATTCCAAGAGCTGCTGGAGCAGATGAACTCCCACTCATTGGGTTTTCAGGGACAAGTGTGTCATCTTTGGTGACACATGGGGTTTTATGTTGGGTAGGTGCCCAAAAGGCATTTCTGCGTCCAGGCTGGGTGAGTCTGCAGCAGCAGGAACCAGCCACACCTTCAGCAGGGACTGAACTGATGGTCCTCCTCCCCTGAGCCGCTCCTCCCCCAAGGACACGAACCGAGACAGAGCCCCTCACTGTGAACCCTATATGGGAATTGAGCCAGCAAATTCCCAGAACATTCTGAACAACCACTTCTCTGTCTCTCTCCTCACGCAGCCCTCAGGATTAACAAGCATCCCCCTTGGGCTTCTCTTCTTAGTTTGGATTGTACTGTTTGCAAGAAACTCATTTTCTCCCATCTCACTGGAGCCGTCTGTGTCGGCTCACTCAATGTTTCACACGTCTCTGGTTCAGGATACTCTCCACAAGCCCAGTCTCATGTGGACGGTTGGGATGGGAGAGAAGGGAAGAGTCTTTCCCCTGGACAAATTCCTTTTCCTCAAAGACAACAAGTTGTAAGAAGATGCTCGAGTTCATGATCTGCTCTATCCTTTCCATCTCTAACCATATATTTGGTGTAATAAAGTCAGCTATGAAACTGACATTTCCCAGACCTTTGTAAGACAAGGAGCGCTGTTGAAATACAGGTAAGAATTCACCAGCCCTCTCACCCTTCCCCTCTTTTCTTTCTTGTGGTATCAGGACCTGGTACATGATGGCTAGAGTCACAGCAGCCATTTTGTGACCTTGAGGATGGAAACCACACAGTAACCCACAGAAAAACAGAGGAAGCCTGGAACCTCAATGCTTCATACAGTTACCATCTCTGCCCCGAACTGCCTGCCTTCAGGTTTTTTCTGAACACAAGAGAAAAACAAGTCCATCGTTTGTTTAGGTCACCATGATTAGCTCTCTGTCACACACAGCCAGTGCACAGGAGCCTCCGTTATTCGTGATTTCATGTTCTGTGGTCAACCGCAGTCAGCAAGTAGATGAGCCTCCTTTGACGCATGCTCAGAAGGCCAGTAGTAGCCTAACACGCTGTCACAGAGCCAACAGCACTCCCCTCTCTTCCTCTCATCACATGGGCATTCTATCATCTCACATCCTCATGTGATGGAGGAGGGTGGGTGCAGGACAGGAAGATATTTGAGAGAGAGACCACATTCACATAGCTTTTACACAGCACATTGTTATGATTGTTCCATTTTTATTAGTTACTATTGTTAAACTCTGTGCCTAATTTGTAAATTAATCATTATCACAGTCTATGTGTATAGGAAAACACATAGTACATATAGGGTTCTCTCTGTGTTTCTGGCATCACTGGGGGTCTAGGAACATGTCTCCTGGGGAGATATTGGCTGTAACACAGCTTTAAAATAGAGGAATAATGTAAGCGTTCTAAACATCCCTCGCTTCCCCTTCCCTGAGGTTTTCCAGATCCGACCCCAGTCTCAGTAGGTGAGACCCTGACACTCAACCTCTTTCTCAAAGCGAAACTTGAGCTGGGCTCTGCTTGAACACATCCTCCCACGCTGCCAGAGAACCAGCATGTAATTCAAATATTCTAAATTCCTGGAAAAGAAGACATGGAGTCAGCCAGAGTCAAGAACTACAAGCTGTGTATAAACCCCCAGATTATGTAAACAGAAAGAGCAAATGAGCTCCATTCTCACTGAACTAGGAATGGAAATTGCCGTCTGCTCCCGGCGTTGACTGGAGACAAGGTCAGTTTAAACTCCTCCTTGTGATTTACAGGAAAGTGCTAATAAAATTGAAAATAGGATGTTTACCTTCAGAATCACTGGGAGGTAGAGAGGCAAAGTCTATGCTAGTAGTGGTCCATCAATTATATGGCCGGATGCAAAAAATAAGTTAAAAGATTTTAAGCAGGCAATCTCACAACAAAGTATTTATTAATTTGTGAATCACACATTTTAAAGCAGATGCCAGAAATCAAAACCTCTCAAAATACAAGTTATCCTTGTCTTTGAAACAAACTATATGTTAATATCTTGCCACTGATGATGACTTTATACATCAGCTTGTCCCTCAAGCCTCCAAACGCATTTAGAGTAAGAGCGCTCACAGCCGTAGAGGCCAAGCCAGAGTTCCTACGGTCTTCTTGACTCTTTTGCAAGTCTGAATGTCTGAATTAAAATATTCAGGGCAGGGACCTCTAGAAGCTAGGGAAATTTCTACAGTTTACATTACTCCTCTGTTTTAAAGCCACATTACAGCAAACAACCGTGTCTGTTAGAAACACATTCGGAGGCTAGTCGGAGAGATCTCATCCTAGTGACCTAAACATGCAAGAATCTGTGGCCAGCTTCTGATTTAATCAAGTGATCTGGGCAGCCTCATAGCATGTAGACAAAGAAGTCTGCCAGGCCTGGGACAAGAGCCATCTCCCTTATTTCCTTGTGCTTCTGTGACCATATATGGGTTCAGGGAAAGGAGCCTGTGGCCGAGGAGCTGCCCTGTGGGGAGCGAGAGGACAGATGCTGAGGACTGTCCAGCCCAGACCCCCCAGGGAGACCAGGGATAAAGGAAGCCCAGCAGGAGGGACAGACTGATCAGTTGGGTGGGGGTCCCCAGGAAGCTGGGCAGGTGGGAGCCCTGCAGGGGCACTGTGCCCAGACGGTGCAGGAGCCTTCTCTGCACCCATGGGCCTCCCCAGGTTCTGAGGAGATGGCACTGGAATGACTGATGGGGAGGTTAAGAGCAAGGGGAGGTCTCCGGGAAGCCAGACCCCCAGAAGGACAATATTCATGCCACAGCAAGGAGGGCAGTTTTCTCCAGCCACTCCAGGCTCACAAGTCTCTGAGGGTCCTGATCCCTCCTGGGAGACCAGCCTGGGCTTCTTAGGTCAGCAGCCTTGTGGGTCTGAGCCACGTGGGTGGTGCTGGCCCGGGAGTGACTCAACCAGTGCAGGGGGCGGCTGTGGTCGGCAAAGGGCTGCTGTGGACCTCAGAGGCTGCAGAGATGCCACCACAGGCTTATGTCCTCTGCCTGTGGGTGTGAGACAGGAGAGAGGCTGCCCTGGGTCAGGCCTGGCCTCCCTCCCCCTCAGTGTGGCTTCTCAAGGTCTGCCATGAACTTGATTCTGGACACACCGGTGGCCAAGGAGGTCTGAGACCTGGGCCTGGCTCTGTCCCATCCTGGCGTCCAGACCAGGAGCTCATCAGATCACCTACGGGTCCTGACTTTGCTCATCTGTGACATGGAGGGTAACCCTGAGCCCTGCTGCCCCTCACAAGGAACGAGCTTGGGAACTGGAGAATACTGGATCAGGGGTGGGGGCTGGTGACGACTGAGCTCCCTGGTCGCCTTGGCAGCCCGGAGGCCCCGGCAGGCATCTGTGATGGGACAGCAGCAGGAACCGATGGAGCAATGGCCCGTTTGTCCCTAGGTCAGACTTCTCCCGTCCTTCACTGCTGGGAACTCAGCCCAGGCGAGTGTGCGTGTCTTTGCCTCGGTCAGGGCCCTCCGCCTGCCGGAATGGAGGCAGTTCTCGGCGGTCTCACACAGAGATGTGCAGCTGTTTTCCCTGTAAACCCACATCAAAGTGCGTTACGGACTTTTTCCAAAGTTCCCTATAAGGAGGAGACATGAGGAGCTGCACAGAAGTGCCACGTAGGAGGACCTGCCCTGACCGTCCTGGGACGGGGCACGAGTTCAGCACTCTTCGCAAGCTCGGTAACCACCTGTGGAGGGCAAGGATGGCAGCCACCTCAGTCTGTCCCTGGCCTCCTAAGCCCCAGGCACATGGGAAGGCCAGCTCTGAGCCTGGGCCCCGGAAGGAGAGCACGTCTCCTGAGGAGGAGGTGTGTCCCAGGGTCCCGGGGCCTTTCTGCTCAGCCTGAGGCCCTGAGCTCCCAGGGGTGCTGCTGGGCCCACAGAACGGAGGCAGAGCACGCGAGGGTTGCAGGCCAGAGGCCCCCAGAGTGGCTGCACTGTGATTCCAGCAGCCGGAAGGCCAGTCGGAGGCAGGCCCAGGGCACGCCCCGGCACAAGATGTCCTGTGGTGTCCGGGAGGGATGGAAGACTCGTGCCTTTGTGCCACGTCATCAGCTTCTGCTTCTCAGAGCCGCTGCCCTGCACGACGGTGGAGCGAAGTCTGTCTCCTCCCCTCGTGTCCCACCCGACCCTCACGTCCCTGCCGCCGCGCTCAGCTCTGACACGGGTGTGGGGCGCTCTCACCGGCACCAGCACCCCCGCAACTGTTCAGTTCCGTGCTGCCGCCGTCTGCCTGGAGAGCCCGTCCGATCCGGCAGGCAGGGGCTCGGCCCGCCAGACCGCCCCACGTCCCCGCCTCGGGCCACGAAGTCTCGAGCGTCCCCTGTGCTTCTGACCGGTGGCTTGTGAGCCGGGACACCGAGGAAGGGTCCGTTAACCGGCGAGAACAGCTCACACGCCGGGAAGCGCTGCTCCTGGCCGGCTCACTAAAGGTCATGGCAAAGGGCACGGAGGCGCCCGGCGAGGTCCAAGGGCAGGGGCGCGGCGCTCCGGGCCCGGACCGGGCGCTCCGGGCCCGCACCTCCACCGTGCGCCAGCCGGGCAGCTCCGGAGCCGCAGACTTTGCGGAGTTCGCGGCGGCTTCCGCGCCCGGGCCTGACGGCTCTCGGGCTCCATTCCCAACCCCTCCCCTCCCTGGGGCAACAGCGCTTGGGCGACAGTTCCGAGCTTCGCGTCAGGGCTCGACTTTCTGGGGACCGGCCCCGCCCCGGGCCCCACCGGATCGCCTCGTGAGAACGAAGCGCCCTCCTGCCCGGGCAAGTCCACGCGAGGTCGGGGCTCCGTCTTCGGAGTCCGGGCGGAGACCGTACAAATATTCCCGCGGGGCGGCCACCACGGCGGGCTCCGCGGGCCCTGCACGCAGGCCCAGGCCGGGGCTCCCCTTGCCGCCCCGGGCCCCGAACGCCAGCCCCCTCCGCTGCACAGCCCACGGCGGCCCTGTCCGGAGCCCTGCGGCGGCCCCGCCTCCCCTTCCCACGGCCTCTGACCCCGGCCTCCACAACTCCGGAACCGGAATCGGCTTCCGCTAAGACTGACCGGCGAGTCGCCAGCCCGGGTAGCTGCCCAGTACGGCCTAACGGCCCGACTTCTTTGTAGCAGGCGCACAACCCAGGACACGTGCTGCGTCAGAGCAGACGCATGCGCAC